TATTGAGGGGAGGGAAAATTCCCCCCTCAAGATAATGGGGGCTCCTACGTTATCGGGGGGGGAGGGAAAATCTCCCCTCAAAATACTGAGGGGAGGGGGGCTCCTCATACTTTATTGGGGGGAGAGAAAGTCTCCCCTCAAGATAGAGGGGAGGGGGCTTATACGTTATCGGGGGGGGAGGGAAAATCTCCCCTCAAGATAATGAGGGGAGGGGGGCTCCTCATACATTATTGGGGGGGAAGTCTCCCCTCAAGATAAGGGAGGGGGGGCTCTTCATACATTATTGGGGGGAGGGGAAATCTCCCCTCAAGATAATGGGTGGGAGGGAAAGTGCCTTCCCACATATTAATGAGGGGAAGTGGACTCTTGTATATTATTGGTTGGAGGAAAATCTCCCTCTCAGGATAATGAGGGGAGGGGGGGTGGTCTTATACATTATTGAGGGAAGGGAAATGTGCCCTTCAAGTTAATGAGGAGAGGGGGGCTCATTGTACATTATGGGGGGGAGGGAAAACTCCCCTCTAACTTAATGGAAAGTGTCTCCTCATACATTTTTGAGGGGAAGGAAGATGTCCTCCTCAAGATAATGAGGGGAGGGGGCCTCATACATTATTGGAAGTGAAAGGGAAAATGTCCCTCATGTTAATGAGGGGAGGGGGAGCATCCCTCCTACATTAATGGCGGGCAGAGTTGGAGAAGCTCTCTAAAGGGTTGGAGTTGGTACTTATACAGTGATTGGGGAAGAGGGTCCCTGGTGTGGCTGGTGGGTAGAGTCTCCTCTATTCTGGTACAGTAATGGGGAGGTGAGAAGTATGAGGCTAGCCCGAGCTCATAGATTGGGTATTTATTGTGTTTTTAGGCAACACACCAAGACGAAATAGAATTGCGTAGTTTGAGCTTCAACCTACTGTGAGAATTGGTCAAGTGTGCTAGACTGTATTGTTTATTTTGGGTGGCCAAAACCTGCCTCATAGGGTGGTGGTTGTGGGGAAATTAGGAAGAGGAAGGTGTGATGGATATGTTCACTGCCTTGAGTTATTTGTAAAAATAATAAAGGTGGGATACAAATAAATAAGTATTCATTAGATGTAAACCTAGCTGTATTGTGGGAAGCAGTATTGGGAAGAGCAGTGGAGAGATACTGAGCTCATGATAAGGGGCCAGAGGTTTTAGTATCTCTCATACTTTTTGTGTAAGAAGAGAATAACTAAGAAACTGAAGCACATGAGATAATATAGTTCTTCCTTGTGTGGGAATGTGGGAATGGTGAAAAGGAGGGGGGAAAGTTGAAATGTGTGATTGGTCTTCCATGCATGGAGGATATATTCATATACGGGATGGGAGAGACTGGAAAATACAAATGCTGTCGCTTATGTTGGACTACTAATAACATTTTCTTGCTCATTTATTATAGCTTTCTTGTTTTCCAGTTTGCTATTTGTCTTATTCTTAAATATTAAAAAGGTATAGGCATCTATATTTTTGTAACAGTTATAAAATTAAGGGTTTTAAAGAAAATTTATATTTTATTTGAATTTAATTGATTTCCAGACTATTTTCAGTATTTAAAGAGATTTTTCCCAACAGCCCTCCCAGTCATTATAAAATGCATGCCAGAATTACCCTTGGAGAAAAACCAAATACACTGTGCTATACAATAATTACAAGTAG